CTGCAAAGTAGAGAAGAAGCTGCAAAAAGTTACCACACCTTTGAACATATTTTTTAAAAGAATCATGCAAGTTTGTAAGTATTTCATGCAAAGTACACTTTCACATGCGTTATCTCATTTTAGCCTTGCTGAACACATACTGTGTGCCAGGCACTGAGCCAGATAAATGGGTCAGATAGTGCATTTTTAGCGGGGTGGAGGATACTGGGGATTGAACTCAGGGGCACTCCACCACTGAGCCACATCCCCAGCCCGATTTTGTATTTTGAGTTGCTTAGTGCCTTGCAGTTGCTGAGGCACTCTACCAACTGAGCTATATCCCCAGCGTGAAATACTGCATTTTTAAAAGGAGCTTTCAGACCAGTTGTAGAGAAAAAATAGAAACTAGCACTTACATTTCCAGGTAGAACAAAATAGGTGCTATAAAGAAGGGGCAAAGCTGCCAGACGTGGTGGGGCACATCTATAATCCCAGCAATTTGGGAGGCTGAGGGAGGAGGACCACAAGTAAAAAGCCGGACTCAGCAACTTAGGCCCTAAGCAACTCAGCAAGACCCTGTCTCTAAATAAAAAAGACAGAAAGGGCTAGGGATGTGGCTCAGTGATTGAGTACTCCTGGGTTTAGCCCCTAATACCAAAAAAGAGAACAACACACACACACACAAATGAAGGGACACAGTGAACCAATCTTTATTTCATCAATTTGGTCAAGAGAACCTAACGTTAAGGTTATATTAATATTATAAGGTAGCCAGGAATGGTGGTGTGTGCCTGTAATCCCAGCTGCTTGGGAGGATGAGGCAGGTGATTCACCAGCTCCCGGCGAGCCTGGGCAACTTAGTGAGATCTTGTGTCAAAATAAAAAGGGCTGGGAATGTAGCTCAGTGGTAGAGCTCCCCTGGGCTCAATCACTAGCACCGTAAAAAAAAAAAAGCAGGGGCTGTGTGCAGTGGCACACACCTGTAATCCCAGCAGCTTGGGAGGCTGAGGCAGGAAGATGGAGAGTTCAAAGCGGAGCCTCAACAATTTAGTGAGACCCTGTCTCTAAATTAATGCAAACAAGAGCTGGGGGTGGCTAGGTGGTTAAGCACTCCTGGGTTTAATCTCTGGTGCCCTCCCCCCAAAAAAGAAAGAGCAGGTGTTGTGCATATTCCTAAGACACCTCATTGTAGAAATGATAGGGAAATTTAAAAACAAATAGGGGTGATAGAGCTCATAGACCTCATGTATTTGACTAGTAGCAATAGTAAGTATCTGTTTCTTAATTATGTACTAAATTCCTCTTCTCTCCACCCTTGTGTCCTTGTTTAGGCTCTTCTTTCCACTTGTATGGGATCCTGATTGGGCCACTTGGCTCTGATGTTGCATTGCTTCTGGTTGATTTTCAACATTACTGCCATATGGATCTTTTACTGGCAGGAGCTTTATAAAATGCAAATCTAACCAAGTTCCTCCTTTATTTAAAGTCTGTACCTAGCCTGGGCATGGTAAGCATATCATAATCTCAGACTCAGGAGGCGAAGGCAGAAGGATCACAAGTTCGAGGCCAGCCTCAACAACTTAGTAAGACCATGTCTCAAAAAATAAAAGAGGGCTGGGAGAATAGCCCAGTAGAAGAGCACCCTTGGGTTAAATCCCCAGTACACACACACACACACACACACACACACACACACATGTGCTAGGCGTGCCGGAGATGGAACCCAGGGCTTCCCACACACTAGGTAAGCACTCTACTACTGAGCTACATCTCCAGGTTCTCTGCCTAAGGTCTTTTGGAGACCAACATCTCCAGGATGGAGCCCAAGTCTTGGCAATCAAGGCCTCCATGATGAATAAGGCTCTGGCTGCCTCCTCAGCTTCCCAGGCTATTCCTTTGCTCTGCACCTCAGCACTTGTGTCCCCTTTCCCATCCTCACTCCATGGTGACCTGCTGTTCCCACTGTACGGAATGCCTTCTCTACCCTCATTTGCCTAGGAAATTCCTACAGTTCTTCAAATTCCAGCTCAAATGCTTCCTGTAAGAAGATTCTCTGATCTCACCAGTTTGAATTGGGGTACGCTGCGCCTCTCATCTCAAGCCTACTTGTGGTTGGTTCACTTGTCTCCTGTCCCCACCACAGGTAAGTGTTTTGTCCTCTGTACCACAGTGTCTACCGGTGCCTCACACAGAGTTGGTGTTCAGTAAATGGTACCTTTCAGACAGAAGGATGGCCCAAGTAAACACATAAGGAATGGGGTCTGGTCTGCCTAGAGTCCAAGAATGTACAGGACAAGCAGAGATAAAGGCGGCAAGAGGATTTGGGTTGGCTTTTTCTCCCCCACTTTTTTAAAATACTGGGAATTGCAACTGGGTGCTTTACCACTGAGCTATAGTCCTTGTTTAATTTTTTTTTTTTTTTTTTTTTTGGTACCTGGGATTGAACTCAGGGGCACTCGACCACTGAGCCACATCCCCAGCCCTGTTTTCTATTTTATTAGAGACAGGGTCTCACTGAGTTGCTTAGTGCCTCGCTAAATTGCTGAGGCTGGCTTTGAACTTGTGATCCTCTTGCCTCTGCCTCCCGAGCCACTGGGGTTACAGGCCTGCGCCACTGCAGCCCAGCACGTTTTTGGTTTTTTAACCCAGGGCTTTGTGCATGCAAGGCAAGCACTCTACCAACTGAGCTACCTCCCCAGCCCATTTAATTTTTGAGACAGGATTTCATTAAGTTGCTGAGGCTGCCCTCGAACTTGGGATCCTCCTGCCTCAGCCTCCTGAGTGGTTGGGATTACAGACCTGCACCACCATCCCTGCTCTGCATTGGCTCTTTGAAGGCCTTGGGAACCAGAGAATCTGCATCTTATATGATGAGCAGTTGAGAATCGCTAGGTGTTAGATGATCAGAACAGGGCGGAAGATGGGAAGATGGACCGGAGGACAGGCTGGGGTTGGAAGCAGACAGCTGTTAGCTCTGTGGTACAGAAACAGCAGCCAGAGAGATGGYGACTAGCGAAGGCCACGCAGCTGTAAGTGGCCGAAGTAGGAGCTGAACTGTGCCAAGTCTGGAGATCTGTGGGCCACTCCACAAGGAAGGCACGGTTAGTAGCTGGGCTTCAGGCTGTCCAGGAGGCAGAAGGGTGCCGCCTCAGTCTGACAGGGAGTTTGTCTGCACACACAGTGCTGCCCTGTCTGTGACTTAGCACACTTATTTTCTATTCACACAGAGTCCTCCCTGGCGTGGAACAACACCTTAAGGCCACTTAGCAATCCAGGCCTCTTTGATCTTGTTGCACTCCACACTTCCTATGACAGGGAAAGAGCACTTAGAGAACCAGGTGCCAACTACATTTCTTTTTGTTTGTTTGTTTTGTTTTTCTGTTTGGTGCTGGGGATTTAACCCAAGAGCACTTTACCACTGAGCTACATCCCCAGCTCTTTTTAGTTTTTTGAGACAGGGTTTCACTAAGTTGCTTAGGGCCTGCTAAATTGATGATGCTGGCCTTTACTTGCAATCCTCCTGCCTCAGCCTCCCAAGCCACTGGGATTACAGGCACCAAGGCACCCAGCTGACAGCTGCGCTTCAGAAGCGACACATATATTACAGTTCGCTGTCCAGACTAGTCCAGACACAGGGACTGAGAATGCAGGAAGGAGAAGAGAACAGGCATACCTCATGAGGAAAGGAATACTGCTACACCTGTGGGAAAGGAACRGCAGGCCGCGGAGGCTGAGGTCCAGAGAGGAGATGCACAGAACAGAAGGGTTTTGCTCAGGGTTTGGATGTTAGGTCAGGACTGTTCTGGTCACCTTAGAGGAAGACCTCTCTCCATGGACATGGGTGAGCCAGGTGTACGTTGTGCCAGGGAGTCCTTGTCTGTAGTCATGTGTGGTGAAGCCTGGGAACTAAAGAGCAGAGGAGATGACTCTCTCGAATGGCAGCTGGCTGAGGCCTCGGTTCCTTGCCACATGGGCCTCTCCAGAGGGCGGTCCCACAACATGGCATCTGGCTTCCTCCAAGGCAAATGATGAAAGAGACCCAAGTAGGAGCCATGACTTAGCCCTGGCAGTCACATGCTTCACTCCCACTGCCTTTCACTGGCCGTACAGGATGACCACGATGAGTGTGGGAGGGGACCAGAGAGGTGTGAATACCAGGCGGGGAGGCGGAGGTCATCTTGGAAGCTGCTTCCAGAAGCTGGCCTAGAGGACACTTCCTGCTTGGTTTTTGTTGTCCCTCTGTCCTGCTGACGAGATCATGAGGTAATGACAGGGCTCAGCACAGACGGAGGCATTTTGCAGATGAGGAAACCCAAGCCACAAAGGCACTCCTGTGTCTTGCCTGACTCCCTTGTGCGAGGGCGGCAGCCTGAATTTTCGGCCCCCACGTCCCTGAACATGTGCTGTGATCTGTGAGGTTGTTCTGYCCCGGCCCCCGATGCTAGCACCCAGCACAAGTGGGGGGCGGCAGTAAGCCAAGCGCAACACACTGCCCCCCAGTCCCACCTCCAGCCCCGGCACAGCTGTGGTGAGGGGGCACGGCGGGGCAGCTYGGCTCAGCAGAGGGCGCTAGGTGGGGTGCCCTTTGGGACGGGTGAGAAGAAGGAGTGTTTCCCTGGCACTGTCAAGGTCCTTCCCACGTGAGCCAGGAGCAGAGGGCCCTGCAGGGGAGGCTGCGGCTCCAAGGTGGACCACACCTGGGCCGCGCCTGTGGCCAGACAGGTTTCCGCTGAGGAGTCAGGCAGCCGTCAGAGGGCTGGACTGGCCTCGGGTGGCTTGGTTTCTCTGATGTCCCAGGGTTCCTCCTGAAGCTTCCTTCGAGCTAGACAACCTGTCCCCCGTCCTGGGGCTGCCTCCTCCTGGCAGAGCACCTGGAGCACATCCTCCAGGGACACCGGGAAGGGCTCCCCCCCACCCCCACYATCCTCCGCCATGGGTGAAGCTCGGGCCTTGAACCCTGGCAGGGCTGCCCCAGCCCTTCCCCCTCGGCCGCACCAAAGAAAGCAAAGCCCAAGACGGAGTATCAGAAACGTGTATTCTTTTTCTTTTAATAGTAAACCTCTTTACAACAAATATAGTGAAAGAGTTTTCAAACAAAACTCATAAGAATCTCSAGGACTTCTGTCTTTTCTTATTGTGTAGAATACTAAGAAAGCATCACCGTACAGCACGAAAGAAATATCCAAAACAAACCAACAGCCGCACACTTGGACTCGCCTGCSCGGCCCGGAAGGAGCCCCAGGAGTGTGGGTGATTGTCGGGTTTGGGGGTGGGTCACCTCCATGACCGGTCTCCCCTCCCTTCCTCCCTCATCTCTACCCCTCCCTCTCAACTGGGACAGAATGAGGAAGAGGATCCGGACTGCCAGGGATCAGCTCCCAGCCCCCTACAGGTCCCAGGGCTTCTAACTGCTGCAGGGCAGAGGGGGCGGGAGAGTTCCCAGGCTCTGTCCCTCTCCGCAAGAGCCTATCCCCCCCACCCCAGGGGATTCCAAAGAGTCAGTTAAAAATATATAGATAGATATTTCTAGATACACTTTTACATCATTTCTCTCTCCAAACAAATAAATAATTAGCAAGAGAAGGTGCATTACTTCCTTCCTGTCCCAGGTGAGGAGGGCAGGCGGGACGGGATCAGTCTCCTGCACTGAGTGCGCTGTCAGGGAGGGGAAAGGCTGTTCCACTGAGGTGTGGGGGCAGTCCTCTTGCCCACTGTCCCTGAAAACTGTGGGAGACCTGGGAAGGGGAGGGCCTTGGATGACTCCAGTGGTTACTTTGGCAAGTGCCCGGTTTTTCAGAGGGAGTGGGTGGAGGCAAATTTGGCTTGTGAAAGGAAGAAAAGGTCCCACTTGAGGTCTGGGTTCCCAGGGACCCATATATCTGGCCGGCCAGGAGCCCCTGTCCCCAAGAGAACTTGGGGGTATTGAATTATGGAAATGTCACATATTCACTCACAGCCCACCCACTACTGCCAAGGACAGAGAAGAAAGGACACACACACATCCGCACGTGGTAATCAAAATCCAGCTTGGCCTTCCGAGGTGGAGGGCAAAACTGGTTAAATATTGCACCGTGAACTGCAGGGGCCTCACCCCAGCCCGCACTGAATGGTGGCCAAGCTTGACCTAGAAAGGTGGGCAGACTGATGATGGTAGGAATAGCCTGAGAAGAGAAGGTCATTCGACGTTTATTGAGCACCTATCATTCACCCATTCAGCATTTACTGAGCGCCTACTGTGTGCCAGGCATGGGCAAGGCTCTGGAGCACATGTGTACATGACTATACCTAGCTTCTTGAGGCCCTGACCGAGGTTCCTTGATTCTTGCAACACCCTCTGGGAACCTTTGGTGGTGGGGGGGGCGGCTGGGGGACTGGATGTGCCACATCCTTGTGGTCAGCAGGCGGGGTGAAGCTGTGGGTCAGGAGCACTGCTCAGCTGGGGGAGAGCCTGGGGTGGGGGGGGAGAACCGGAGCTGTGCTCTGAAAGCGGGAATTCCCTGAAGGGAGCCGTGTGTCAGGTGGGGACTAGGTGAAGGCGCAGGCTCCGGAGGGAACCTGGGAGAGGTAGGCGCAGGGAGAAGCCAAGGGGCGGCTGCCCAATCCCAGAGCAGAGGACAGAGCCGTGGAGAGGGAGTGAGGGTCCCAGAGCCAGAAGCCAGGGCTGCCACCTGTCCCACTGTGAACACAGCCAGCACAGACACAGGGACGCCCTGCACTCCGTCACACAAAAGGCCACCCACRCAGTCACGCGTCCCACACAAACACCAGATGCCCTCAAGAACACTCAGGTCACGTGTGGTCACACACACCTCTCTGCTACTGGTTCCTTCCTGTGTCAAGTGTGGGAATACTGCAGAGGCTGGGTCACAGGGGGGCAAAGAGGGTCACCTACCACAAAACTGGGCCTGGTCTAAGGCTACTCTCCAACCGGAGGAAACCCCAAGGGACCTGGGCTTTGGAGGAGTGGGGCGGCACCCCTGAGGGCAGGTGGTGGGGGACATGCTGGGCTGCCCCTCCAGGCTGAGCTCTGATCCAGCCCTAGGTCTCGGGACCYCATGCTCTGAGTGCCCCTGGGCTCCTTGCCACCGCCCCACCGGGGAGGGGACGGGAGAGGAGGGAGCAAGAACAACAGCAGAAGAATCTCGCCTGTACAGTACGGGCCTTTGAGTCGTTATTATTACAATATACTTTGACAAAAATAGAATCTCATTTCATATCAATACAACAACAAAAACAACAACAACAACAAAACAGTTTCCTGGACTGTTACACCGCTAACGTTTCCAAAGGTTGCTATTTACAATTACAGTAGCCAAGAGGGATGGTGGGACAGGCCTGGAGGTGGTGGGACAAGGAGGTAGCGAGACAATGAGGGTGCCAAGAGCAGGGGGTGAGGAGGGCGGGGGGCCCAGGAGGGATCAGGAGGAGCCCTCTAGATGGAACCCATCTGTAGGGACCTCCCACCCCTTGCGCCACCCCAGTGTCCACTCCTTGGGAAGCGTGCAAGGCAGAGGAAGTCCCCTCCCCATACCTGCCCTCAGGCACCCGGGGAAGCCCAGGGCCCCACTCTGCCCAGCCCTGGAGCCACCTCCCTAAAGGTCCTCTCCCCAGGTCTCCCTGCAACCGAGGCCAGCTGGACAGGGCTGGGTCAACGGAGGGACGGGGAGCTATTGCACTGTTTATCTTAGAGGAAAAAGCCGGGGGAGGGAAAGGGCCCCCCTTCGCCCTCTGCCCAGCCCTTCGGCCCTCCTSGGCCCTCTCCTCATGGTTCGGTCTCTCTCTTCAAATGTGCTTCCAGAGAGGCCACCTCTACCCCGTCCCCGCCCAGGTTCCCAGAAGCTCGGCCGCCACCCACGACCTTGGGGTGCAGCACACAAGAGTCAAAAAGGGGTCGTGTATGTCGGTTATTTCGGGGCCAGGCTTGGGCCCCGTGTGCCCAGAGCTGTGGGGCAGCCAGCAGAGCGCCCCTGCCTCTCCCACTGCCCCCACRCACACCAGCAGCCCCCGGCCTCCAGCCTGCTGTGGGGTTTTGCTGTATGGTAGTTTTTTGGTTCTTTCCCTCTGTCTGGGGCATGGCATGGGGGGCTCCAAATGCAGGGCTCGGCACCTGTCCTTTCCCAAAGGCCTACTGGGCCCCCCTTCCTGCAGCATATGTGTACAACGTGCAAAGTGTCCCCCCCTTCCCGCAAAAAAAGAGAGCCCCCGCCAGTGAAAATGGTGGGGGAGAGAAAGAAGGGACGAGAGCATCCCTCTCTCCAAAGCCAGAATCCAAATTAAAAAAAATATAATAATAATAATAATAATAATATAATAATTATACACAAATGTAACCGTCAACAGGACACAGGAGCACAGAAAGGAAGTGGGGGTCGAGCGGGAGGAGCCCAGGGCAGGGGTGGGCGGTGAGATTGTCAACTCTTCATCGGGGAGGCTGAGGAGGGGAGTGGGAATCGTCACTTTAATGTCTGCGGAGAGAGGAGATGGAGAAGGGGTGTGAGGATGGCCAGCTGCGGGTGCACCCCACGCCCCTCTCCCCGGGCCAGCCAGCTGTGGGGGCGTAGAGCAGGGGTCTGACGCTGGGGGGCTGGGCTTCAGCGAGGAGAAGGGCTGTTGGTGCGCCCCAAAGGGCCGGTGGCGGCTGGGGCCACAAGGCCTCTCCAGTGGGAGAGCAAACAGTGGGGGCATGTGGGGCGTCCCCTGGCGGGCGGAGCAGACAGTGCAGGAGGAGGGTCGAGGCTACAGTACCCAGGTGTCCAGCCGCATCCTCTTCACGGCCGAGCCCTCGGCCTCAGGCTCAGGGGCCGGGCGCAGCAGGCCCAGCGTGGGCCCGAAGTCCCCCCGTCCGTCATCCCGGTCCCCCGTCTCATAGGATCCCCCGGCTGGGCTGCTGAGACCGTCACCAGGCTCAGGGCGGGCGGCCGGGAACACAGCTGGAGGGGGAGGCGCGGGGCTGCGCTCGCGGCTCGGGGACACGGGCTCGGACTTGATGCTGATGTGCGGGTGGGTGGTGACCGTGAGGGCAGCACCCACATGGGGCAAGGGGCTGCCCGGGCTGGAGGCAGGAAATGGGAGTGGGGTGGGGGGGCCAGAGGGGTAAGTGACAGGCAAGTGAGAAGACAGAGACAAAGAGCAGAGAGAGAATGGGGGCGGGAGAAGAGGGAGAGGGGACGGCAGCCGGTGACAGAAAATGAAGGGGGGGAGATAAAACAGGCCACTTTAGTTCTCATCCTGTCACCTTCTGCAGCCTGGGGCTGGCTGGGGGACAGGGCCCAGAGGGAGTCTCCTGGGCCGGTACAAGGTACCCAACGGAGCTTCACGGGAGACCCACCGGGGGACAGGCGACCCTCCCCTCACCCCCAGGCACCCCCAGCGGCAGGTCGGCAGGTCTCGCGAGGACTCACATGAGGTTGCCGAGAGACACGGGGACCAGGTGGGGCTGCTGCTGAGGTGGCTGCGGCTGCTGGGGCGGCTGYGGCTGGGGCTGCGGGGGCTGCGGCTGGGGCTGCGGGGGCTGCGGCTGCGGGGGCTGCGGGGGCTGCTGTGGCTGTTGCCAGGCGGTGACGTTGCCTAGCGACAGCCCCCCAGGCGAGCTGAAGGCCGGGAGGGAGGAGAGTTCTGCGCTGGTCAACTGGTAATCTGCAGGGGGGAGGCGGAGGGTCAGGACGGGAGCTGAGGGGCCAGCGCCAAGGGTTCAGAGAGGCACTCAGAGAAACGCAGTCATAATAACAGGAGGAGCTTTAAAAAAAAATAGGCTGAAAAGACGGGTGGTTTTTAAAATAGTGTTGAAAATTTTTTTAAAGAAAAATTCTGTGTAGGTATCACTTCTGTGATGACAATGATAAAAAAAGAGAAGCCAAGGGGAGCAAAGGGGAGCAGGGAAGGTCCAACTGTGTCTGTYGTCACCTGTCTGACTCTCCAGCTGCCTTTCTGAGGCAGTGGGGACCCACAGGGAACCCTAGGCACATGAGGCCCAGTAAGCAAATGTGCCACCATGCCCGCTTCTGCTCAGYCCCAGGAGTCTGCGTTCTGCAGAAACCTCCGCCATCACACTGGCCTGGACCCGCACTGCACCCACAGACGCGGAAGGTGCACGTTGGCTCCCAGTCCTYGCACCCGGGGACAGGGCTTCGGACCCGGGGTCAGGCCAAGGCTGCACCTCGGGGCACTGGTTTTCTGAAACGTCTAGCTTGATCAGTGAAGACACTGATGTTTGCTCTGCCACAGAACAAACACAACCATGAAGTGCCCCACGATTTACACGGCACAGCGATGTTTCCCGTTGCATCCTGTTCGCACAGTTTAGAAAATGTCTTCCCTGAGGACCACAAAGATGCCAAACTGTGACAGGGGGAGGGCAGGCTGGGGGTTGGAGGCGGGGCGTGCCCCCCAGTCAGCCTGAACCACAGCCTTCTGCTGGGAGTCCTAGGCCATCTGCTCCGGCCACATTCATACAGAGAAGATGGTGTCACCTCTGCAACACTGCTAGGAGGCCAACCTTCCTGGCTATCTCCACTTACAGGCCCTGCGACCTTGGGCAGATGACGTCCTGTCTGCCTATGAACGGGAGGCAGTAATCGACCCAGAGTAAGCACACAGCATCTGCTGTGAGGACCAGAGAGGTTTTTTTKGGGGGGTGGGAGGAGGGTATTCAGGATCAACCCTGAGGCACTTAACCACTGAGCCATATCCCYAGCCCTTTCTATATTTTTATTTACAGAGTCTTGCTAAATTGCTTAGGGCCTCATTAAATTCCTGAGGCTGGCTTTGAACTTGCAATCTTCCYGCCTTGGCCTCCAGAGCACTGAGATCCCAGGCGGGTGGCACCATGACCTGCAGGACCAGAGGGTGGCCACTCAGGAGGCACACAGGAGTGTCTCGACACCTGGTGGGTATTCCAAAGATCACCTACTATTACTTTACAAATGAGGCAACTGTAGCCTGAGAACCGAGGTACTGGCCCAGTGGCAGAGTTCAGGCAAGACCCCCGGACTTTCTATGATCTCTGAACCTCATCCAGAGGTGGTCCATGCTTGTCCCTAACACTGGCCACAGTTTTGAGATGCCTGTATTTAGAAAGCAAACAAAGGCAAAAATGGGCTTCGGGACTGACTGGATTTTTCTAGCCCTTGGTTCACGAACCCTTGCCGGAAGTCCCTCAGTGAGTAAATGATAAGAGACCCAACTCAGTGCTGCCCTACCCCACAGACTCAGGCCCTGTCTACTGGGAGGCTCAGCTCCCAGCCACCAGGCAGTGCTTGGCCCGCTCAAAGAGCCACCACAGTCAGACCTCTGCAGCCAGCGTCAACAAGGGACCAGGCCCACCTCTTGCCCCAGACCCCACCAAGATCACCCCCAGCGCAACCTGAACCAGAGCCAGGATTGTAAACAGTGACAAGGGAACAGCATATGCTCCGTGGGTCCTTGTTTACGCGCCTAGGGTCTCCCGGATACACCTGACACCTCAGCCGAGCTTCCTTAGCCGCTCTGCACCAAGAGGCCGAGGAAGAGGAGGTGGGAACCCAGTGCACGTTCCTGAGAAGTCCAGGGTGGAACCTGCCTTTCCCACAGTGACCAACAAGAGTTCACAAGGCTGGCCTGCTAAATGCCTGTCCCAGGTCTTGACAACCAACTGCCCTCTTGCTTCACAAGACGGCGGGAATGGTGACCACAGGCAACCACTTCGGCAGGATTCCTAACAATGGCCTTGGCTTCTGAAAAGCTCCTGGACTTCCCTCTGCCACCTGCTCCCTGCTGCTCTGCCTTCAAGCAGCCAGCTCTGCTTGGTGGCCTCAGTCCCGGTGCACCAGGAGCGAGCCTCCCCACCCATGCTCCCAGAGATGAGACTGGCCTAAAGGTGACGCCTCAAAGCTGCGGAAGTGGGCATGTGCGCAGCTGCGTGGGCAAAGGACAGGGCTGACAGACACCTGGAGTGAACTCCCATCCCTTCACACTAGAGACCGAGCCAAGGGTACCACCGAGTCCTCCCTGAACAAGGTCAGGTTAAGTTGCCCAGTCTGGCCTTGAACCTGTGATCCTCCTGCCTCAGCCTTCTTAGTTGCTGGGGTTATAGGCATGTGCCACCACAACTGGCCAGTATTCTACGTTTTTATTTGCATGGTGATGCACACCTATAATCCCAGCAACTCAGGAGGCTGAGTCAGGAGGATGGTGAGTTCAAAGCCAGCCTCAGCAACTTAGTGAGGCCCTAATAAAAATACAACTCAGTGAGACTCTAATAAAATACAAAAAAGGGCTGGGGTGTGGCTCAGTGGTTCAGTGCTCCTGGGTTCAAATCCCTGTACCAAATCAATCAAGCAACCATAATTAAACAAGGTCTCCCCCAAATCAACAGCTTTCCTCAGACTGTGGCTTCCCTGGCTTATTTATTTATTTATTTTTGGTACTGGATGAACCCAGGGTGCTTTACCACTGAGCTACACCCCTGGCTCTTTTAATTTTTTTTTTTAAAGAATTTTTTAATATTTATTTTTTAGTTTTCGGTGGACACAACATCTTTGTTTGTATGTGGTGCTGAGGCTTGAACCCAGGCCACACGCATGCCAGGTGAGTGCGCTACCGCTTGAGCCACATCCCCAGCCCCTTAATTTATTTCTTTAATATTTTATTTTTAGTTGTAGTTGGACACCACACCTTTATTATTATTTTTTTTAATTTTTATGTGGTGCTTGAGGATCGAACCCAGGGCCTTGCGCGTGCTAGACGAGTGCTCTACTGCTGAGTCACAACCGCAGCCCCTTTTAATTTATTTTCTAATCTTGAGATCTTCTTGTCTCAGCCTCTCGAGTGACTAGAATTACAGGCGTGTGCTACAACCCCTGGCTCCCAGCACAGCTATGTTCCTTCTCTGGTCACTCGTCTGTTCCAAGGCCAAGTGCACACATGTAACATGGACACTCACCTGTGTTGTAGGCGGTGGGCATGGAAGAGAAGGGGAGGCCCTGGCTGAGCAAACTTGGTGTTGCCACGGAGACCACTGGGGTGGTGAGCGAGTGGGTAGACTGGGAGACCCCGAGGCGCTGGGCATTGTTCTGCAGGAGAAAATGTCTGTCAGGAGGTGCCAGAYGGGTGGGCTGCCTTAGGCTGACTTTGGAGGCCAAGGTCAAGGTGGGGCCTCAGCATGGAGGACCCGGAGGTCCCCCAACACGAGTTGGTGCAATCACAGAGACACTGAGACCCCTGGAGAAAAACGTGCACAAGTGGCTTCACTCTCACCCACACATGCAAAGAGGAAGAGGAGGCCCCAACACTGGCCCTGTGGCCGCGACCCCAACACCGGCCCAGGCTCCTAGGGCAGAGTGACAGGAGCAGTTAGACAAAAGCCATCGCACTGCAGCACCCGCCCTGAGGAGGCGTGTCGGCATCTGGGAGGGACGCACGGCCTGGTGTGGCGTGTGCCTGCGTGTACCACACACGTGTGGGGCTGTCTGCCGTCTGCCGCTGAGTCACTTGTTTATTCCAACTCCACACTGGGGCCGGAACTGCCGCTGTGCTGGCCGCCAGAGCCTGCCCGCCTTTTCCAGTCTCTGGCCTCCCGTCGGGGAGCTGGGAGGAGGAGCCCCTGTCCCACTCCTGGCCACAAGCGAGCATGCAAGTGTGTAAGAGAGTGGCCGTGCATGTCTGTGTCCAGCCCACTAGGCTTCAGCTTCCCCTAGAAAACCCATGTCACTGTCCACTGGCATCCCCCACAGGGTCCCTGTCCTGGGTTCCAAGAATGCTGTGTGGACCACGCAGAGTGGAGGGCTAGGGGGATCCTAGGGCCTAACCAGGCGTCGGGGCTGAGGCCTCTGGGGCCTGAGGGTGGCCTCACTCCACTGTGCAGAGACACGCGTGTGTACGCGTCGTCTGATGCAGCACCACACCTGCATACACACGCACAGGTCCACCCACATGCACGACTGCCCCTCACCCCACCCCGTCCGCCTCAGTTGCCAGGTGGGCACTTAGCACGGCAAAAACCACACCCACACCACACACTGAACACACAGGGAAAGGACAAGACACGGGCGCTCCATGCTGGGACCCAGAGGAGTGGGCTGACCCAGAATTCAAAGCACCGCAAAAGTCTCATGGCCTCACTTACCAGATCTAAATGGTCCTCAGTCTGGGAGCAGAAATAAAACCAAAGGGACGGTTCAGTCTCTGGTCTCTCCCCTCTCCCACACCCCCCACCCACCTCCCTGCCTAACAGCAGGCGCTGGCCAGCCCAGGAGGACAGAGCTCTGTCCCAGCCTCCACCAGCTCGGACACCCCTCACCATCTAGTCGGCAACCTCCTGCTCCACGCGAGACCTTCTCCCCATCACAGAACCTTCTCTCCCACCCCCCCGTCCTTTCTACTGCCTATTTACCCTGGCACCTCTATGCTCCAACCTCTTAAATGGTCCTCAGGGAAGAAAGAGCTCACAAAAAGCCATGCATACGTGATCTCTCTTGGGAAGTCCTACCTCCTGGCCAACCTTCCTCTCTCCTGCTACAGCTCCGCTCTCTCCCTCCTCCCAGCCTCCCACTTCCAGCCCAAGGCCCAGACACCCACTTACCAAGTGATGCATTAACCCCTTTCCTCCCTGGGAAGTGATGACCCGCAGGTCAGGCTTGCGGCTGGGGGCTCCAAGCTGGGCGCTATGGGTGGGCGGCGGTGGAGACTTGGCAGGGATGACCTTGTTTAGGCTATTGCCATTGGCCACAGGGAGGAGGCCAGGGGAAGCCCGAGCACTGACATAGCCGTTCCCTGGAGGAGTGAGGAGGTGAGGGTGAAGGGCAGGCAGGCCGGCCCCGTGCTCCTCTCTTCCCYGCGCCAGGACCCCTCCCAGCCATGCCAAGCTGCCTGCGTCCCCACCACTTTCCCAGAACAAGAAGAGGACATCTTGCTCCTCAATCACTGGGTTCCCTTCCTGCCTCCAGGCCACAGGTGACAGGGCTGGCGTGGGGGCACCAAGGACACACCAGGAAAGCGACCACTGCTACTGTCCTGCGACAGCGGAGACCCCACAGCTCGGCCTCTCCCTGCGGCTCTTTCCTGTCATCTCCAAAGGCCCCCCAACCTGCCCCGACAGGACCCACGGGGCCGGGGGACAGGTGGCGACGTGGGATCCAGGCCTCTGTGGAGCCTGGTCACCAGGGCTGACCACCAACCATTTGGGCAGCTCTCTGCTGTGTGCTGGGGACTCTGAGACTTGGACTGGAACAGGATAAGCTGCCCATGCCTTGGGGGAAACAGGCCATTCACTGGCGGTGACGGTGTTGCTGGCCCTGAGGGACTGATGGCATAGCACCACCAGTTAGACTGGTAACTACCCTTCACGTTTGCTCCCCTCCACAATGGGCATACTATCTCATCTAATCCTCACATGAACCCTGAAAGACAGGTGGTCCTGAGCACGGGAGAGAGGGCTGTGTGTAATGGCTTGTGGGGCCACAAAGTTGGCGGGAGGCCAAGCAGGGTTTTCACCTGCTTCCCACACACTGGACCCCAGCGCCAGTGGGTACAGCTATCCCCTCAAAGTCTGTGGGAACTTCTCTGGTCCTCTCCTTGGACAGGGAGGGGTACTGACCCAGCTTCCCAACCCCATACGTGATTATTGCCAAGAGGGAGCCGAYGCCAAGCTCAGGGACTCTGGGGTTCAGGGATGTACCAGTGACTGCAGGCAGAAATGCCACCTTGCTCTGTCCCCTAAGAGCATGCTGTTGCCCTCAAAGTGTACTGCTGCCTCCRTCCCAATTCCCGGATCACTCTGAGAATGGCAGGAATGTCAGGGTGACGTCAATGGTGACATTAGAAGTCACAGTCACCCAGCTGGACAAAGACACAAGACAGGAGGGCCTACGGGCTGCTGGGGTGGGACAGCCTTTCCTCTGTGGCTACAAGTACCTCTAACACGTGRACCCTGTGTGACCGAGCACACGCGTGTGCGAGTCTCTGCCTGCTGCTCCTCCAGGCACCGCCGGGCCACCCCGTCCTCAGGTCCCAGGCAGACACCTCTCGTCAACAGGGAAGACCTGGATTTTCTGCTCCAGCTAGAAACACTGGTTCTCACAGCCTGCCCCACTCCCTGGCTCTGCGTCTCTGCTGGCCGTCCACCCCACTGCCGCAGACACCAAAATCCAGCAGCAGAAACATCCTCCTGCTCTCGTCCCCTTCAGGGACTCCACCATCCTGTGAGGTTCCTCCCCTGATCTAGGTCCCTCCTGGCCACTGAGCAAGCATCAGGCCTCCGYGTGCCAAGCAGGGCAGTGGTACTCACCCACGGGGCTGGGGCAGGCTCCGTTAGSGGTGCTGAGGTCTCCCCCGAGCATGGCCCCTGGGGAATGAAGCAGAACCAGGTGAGCTGGCAGCACTCCCCCGGCAGGGGGCTCCCCGGGACTGACCAAAGGGGGCTGTTGAGGAGTGCTGGGCCCTGGGCCCGTCCCTCAGGGGCCACACAAACACCGGGATGCTGTGGTAGGGACAGGGCAGGCCCGCTTTTGAAGCTGGGATCCCAGAGTCCCCTGTGCAGCTCATGCGCACCTCCTCCTGCCCCCACCTGTCRGCTCACCCGCACTGGCCGGCCGCTGGGGCAGGCCTGGAGACACGCTGTTCCTCTGTAGTGCTGGCTGCTGGGGGGACAAGAGCCGCGGGTCTGTGAGGGACGACGTCACCAGGGAAGGGGTGACCAGGGAGCCGCTGGGGTTGCTGAACTGCAGTGAGCTCTGATTGGACACGGGCACCGTGACAGGCATGGCAAAGTTGGGGGCCGGGACAGCTGACTAGACAGAAAAAGGAGGGGCAGGGTCAGACCAGGTCAGCACCTTTCCCCAGACCCACTCCACCTGGGAGGACAGGCAAAGGTCTCCTGAGCTCTGGGCTGTGCACCCTTGGGTCAGCGTCTCCAGCTCTCTGCCCCCGGACGTCCTGAGGTCCTGCCTGCCACTCCTACTAAGGCAGAGGGTGGTGGGAGTGCTCTGAGATCCAGCTCTGGCCCAGAGAATGAAACTGCGGTTCTGTTCCCTGCAGACGGACCAGGGACACCCCTAGTGGAGGCAGGTTAGTCCTCAGCCAGGCAGATCACACGGGAGGAGGTTAGCCGCCCTGGGTACAGACCCAGGTTCACACACGCAGTCCTTCCAGGCCTGGGCCACGGTCCCAACCTRCTTCTCCTGCAGTCACTCACCACCCAGCCTGCTGCAGAGGGGTCCACCCTCTCAGCGCCTGCCCCTTTAGCACTTCTGCTGCCCTAAACACCGCTGAATGCCTTGGGTGGGGGCCGCGGAGCAGCCCCAGGGTGTTCATCCCAAGACGACTGGACAACAAGCCCCCTGCAATGTCCTGTCCCTCAAGGGCCTCGTGTCATCTACATGTTTCTTGCTGGCAAGGGGGACGCTCCATGCCCCTCTGAGATGAGTCTCAGCACAGGTCACGGGGTTATCCTGACCAAGGTCGCAGGGTCCTCAGTGGTCACTGCTATCCCCAGCATGGCTCAGAGCAGAACACCCATCAGAGGCAGCCGAGGGCCGCGCGAAGCCACACCATGCACCACAGGGAGGCCCTCCATGCGACTACTCACGGCCAGTCTATAACTCTGCATCATTTTATCAAACTCCTCGTCTATCTTTTTATATTTCTCCTCCGTCTGGGGGGTCAGGGCAAACACCTCGTCCACCTCAGGGCTTTCACACTCCCTGTGCTTCTTGTGCAGCGCCTGGGGGGAAGGGGCCGGAGGGGGGGCCGACAGAGAGACAGTGAGTGGGGCTCACCCCATAGCGCCGGAAGAGCCCGTCCAGCTCCTCGCTGGCGCGCCGGTACTTGTCCTCCAGCAGGGGGCTCTGTTCCAGCGAGTCCTCCCCGTCGGGCTCTGGGCTGTCGCAGCCGTTGAAGCCCTTCTTCCTCAGGGTCTGTAACCGCACCACTAGGTCAGCGGGTGAGGGTCCTCCGGGCCTCCAGCCCTCCCTAGGAGCCTTCAGGGCCCCCAAGATCCCTGCTTACCCAGCCTCCTTCCTCAGGGTGCCAAGGCCTCCCCGTGCCTCCACCCCATGGCATCCCTCCACCCCGTGCCCCCAGGCCCATGTGAAGACCTACAGCAGGGGGYGGCTGCAGAGCACAGGGACCACGTGGGGGCGCCTGACCCCGGGAAGTGCCTGTGGCCAGCACTGTGCTTCCAGAGCCCCAYGTGGGCAGACTCAGGGGAGATGGCTGAGGGGCTAGTGGCCTGGGTCAGCCCTGTCTGGTGAGGCCTGGCCAGGGGGCACTGAGAGCTTCCTAGGGGAAGGTGCAGTCAGGGGACCTGCCCATCCCAACCCAGGCTCTGCTCAGAAGAGAGGAGAGAGAAATCAGGTAGGGTCAGAGAGGGAGAAGGCGAGACTCAAGAGAGCCAAGAGGGGACGGCAGGCCCAGGAACTGGATCCACCACAGCAACCTGAGCAAGGAGGAAGCACCTGCCGTGACCCAAGGCTGCCCTCTCCGTGCTCAAAATGCCTTTGTGGACACTTGCCTTGTTTCTAAAGTGAATGTAAAGTTCATGTTGTAGTATAAATCTGTCTTCTCTAATGTAAAAAAAGAGAATTCCCCTCAATCTCTGAATCTGAGGGAATTTGAGGCCTACGGCTTCCTGGGGGCCCTCCTCTTCAGCCCAAGTCTGCACCCCATGGTGCATACCCAGTGTGAGACCTGGAGCTGGGCTGCTTCGTGCCGTCCACACAGCACCCTCCAAAGCAGGCTCTGGCCCCATTTTGTGGAGGGGGACACCATGGTTCAGGGAGGCCAAGCCACCTGCCCGAGGCCACATGGCCAAGAAAGGGCAAAGCTGAGTYTGAAAGCTTGTATCCTCCAACAGTTCACAAGGTCAGCTCTCTTTGAAACAGAGAAAGAACCACAGGGGCCCACTAAGGGACAGTGACAGAGAAGGAGAGAAACAAAGGGGGAGASAAAAATTAATGAGTAAGGGAGTCAGATGCAGGAACCGACCACAAGATGGAGAAAAGGGACAGGGACAGAAAGAGAGCACAAGAGAAGGCAGCAGAGAGAAGTCCTGTCGTGCTGGCCGCAGGAAGGGACTCCCGGGAGCGTGGTGGGCAGCCCACCTGACAGCCCGGGCCCAGGCGCTGGCCATCCACCTGGACTGCCCCTCCTCCTTCCCGGGGCAGGGTTTGTGCGACAGGATGTGGGTTAACRCGTGTGTGCAGACTGAGGGGCTCTGGGGCGGCACCGCGCGTGTGCGCGTGTGCGCGAGGACACAGGCTGCGGGCGGTGCCCGCCACAGGCCCACCTCGATGATGTCGGCGTTGGTGCGGCTCTCGTGCGGCTCGTTGTACTCGGTGTACTTGAGCAGCACCTTGTCCATGTCGGTGCTGGCGTACTGGAACAGCTTGTTGGAGTGGTTGAAGATGATGAGGGCRATCTCGCAGTCGCACAGGACGCTCAGCTCGTAYGCCTTCTTCATCAGCCCAAACTTCCGCTTGGTGAACGTCACCTGGAGGAGAGCAGCTGGTGTCCAGGGCTGGCTCAGTCCAGGAAGCCCTGCCTATGAGCTGGACACAGCCACTGCCCTCGGAGCTCCCATTTTCAGGAAGACACAGGAGTTCCTAGTCTGAGGAAGACAGTTACCTGGCCAGCGTGTGGCCAAGATGGAGTCGCAGCCTCGGTACCACAGGGGAGAGGGTTAGAGGCCAGGCCTCTACCCCTCTGTGCTAGGGACTAGGGAGAGGTCTCAGGGAAAAGCAGAGGGCTCCTAGGATAAGAGGAGGGAAAGGATTCATTCTGGGGTTTGGAAGTGTCCAGGTGTGGCCTGAAGCCTGCATATGGCGCCCGGGTGGGGACACAGGTCCATCTGGTTAAAGCAGAGCCCGCCCTCCTCGGGCACAAGGTTCCCGGAGCTGCAGGGAGGTGGGGGCTGCTCTTCTCCTGACTCAGCCCACCCCTCTGTCCAGAGCTCTTCCTCTCCCAGAAGCCCCCCATCAAAGATCGGGGAGGACGTGGATCGGGGGCCAGCTCCCGGTCCTCGCCTACTCTGGGGCTCCAGGACTTCCTCACCTGCCGGTTCCGCTCATCAGTGATTCGCTGAATCTGAATCTTTTTCCTCCCCATCTTCTCTGGAGGTCCTCAGTGCTAGGGAGGGAGAGGCTGCTGGGTGGCGGGTCTCGGCACCCCTCACACTGTGCTCATGAACGTCTGGGACCAGCTCAGTTCATGGTCTGCAGGACACCTTCCGCACAGCCTCCTGGGAAGAGTCACAAGAGCACTGTCAGGCCCCAGCCCTCAGCCATGCGCTCCTTGAGGACGTGAGCCAGGCTTACAGCACCCCTGCAAGAGGCCGGCATCGTCTCCTCCCCGTCCTCAAAATGAGGCCATGCTGGCTACCCGTGGCCATGGTCTGCCAGACCAGGCACAGGCTGGGACTCACACCGGGCCCAGGACTCTGGTCCAGGCTCTTCTGCATGGTCATGTTGCCCTGAGGCTCTAGGTCACACAGAGGACATGGAGCGCGCAGCGGCTCAGGGTCTGGATCTTAGAGAACACCGGTATCTCCCTCTGCTTTCCAGAGCCTGCCTTGCTCCCCAGGGACCCCCTGGCCCAGAAGAACAGTTCACCTTCTGGAGTCTTGAGAGAGGACACTTGCCCAGGCCAGCAAGCATGGTGTGCCTCATGCCAGGATGGGATGTCTCTGGTACCCCTGGTTCAAGAACATACTAGAACAGGTCTACAGCAGTGTTCCTACACCAGCTCATGGAACCCCAAGTCCCGGGGTCCCACCACCACCTGCCTTCAGCCAGAACGCCCCCACGACAGTCTGACTTATTCAGCAGACCTGCACCTGAAACCTTTGATTGGAGAAAGTTTTGCTGCTTAAACCTACCGACCACTACTCCTCATRAGAGGTCAGCAGAAAAAGAAATTTTAAAAAAAATTTGTTTGGCCAGGCCCAGTGGCCCACGCCTGTAATCCCAGCTGCTCAGGAGGCTGAGGCAGGAGGATGGCGAGTTCAAAGCCAGCCTCAGCAACCCGCAAGGCACTAAGCAACTCAGTGAGACCCCATCTCCCAATCAAATAAAAAGCAGGGCTGGGGATGTGGCTCAGTGGTCGAGTGCCTCTAAGTTCAATCCCTGGTACCCCCCCAAAAAATCTGTTTTTTGGCAGTGCTGGGGGTGAAACCCAGGCTTTAGGCCTCCTAGGCAAGTGTTCTTGCCCCTGGCCAAGACCCCAGTGAATCTTTTCTATGAAGGGTCAAACAAACATCTCGGTTTTGCAGGCCACATGATGTGTCCAGAACAACTCCCACTCCGCCTGCCGCGTGAGCACCTGAGGGAACGCTAAAGCAGGTGGGGGTGAGCAACAAAACTGCACGAGAGAAGGGGGGACCCCAGTTCCGCAGGCCCTGATCTCTGCTGTGCGCCGCCCAGAGGCCCTGAGTGGCCCAGCAGACACCGGGCCCGGGCGCCCCGCTCCTCACTAACTCCCACTGCCGGGACTCCAGCCCCAGGACTCCGGTGCCCCTGCTTCTCGATGGGACCCGGTGAATCTCTGCTTGCTAGGCCGTGGTGGAGTGGGCTTCAGGGAAGGGGAGGGCAGCAAGGCCCGGGTTCCTGGCCCAGCCTGGCGAGGGCAGGACGCTCCCAGTCCTCCTGCACCCACCTTCCTTCTCTCCTGCCCTCCGGTCTCCCTCTGACCACCCTGTGTTCATGAGCAGGCGCTGGCTGAGATGTGATCTCTGGCAGGCCATGGCCAGTTCTGTCCCCTCCTCCACAGTGGGAGAACCCTCTCTTTGTTCTCATGATCCTCCAAAAAGCCACTCATGCAGTATCTCTAGCACTCACCACGATGTCAATGTTACACTCTGTGCTTCTGATTCATGCCTGGCTTCCCTGAGACTGAAGCTTCCTGAGGGCAGGAACTACATCTGTCCTTTTCATTACTCTAGACCCTGTAAGGAGCTCAGGAAACACCTACAAAAAGACAAGACTGTCTCATCGTCATGGCCCTTTGAGAAGTCCTTCTTGCAGTCTAACCTCCATTAGTCCTGCTGCAATTTGAGCTCCTCTCACTCTGTGCAGCTTGAACTTGTCCCTCTCCTGACTGCCCTTGAAGCTCGTTTGTTTGGACACCACCCACCTTCCAAATACCCCTGCCACCTCAGTCCTCCACTCTCCCCACCCTAGGATTGGCTGGTGCAGCGGGTGAGACTCTAAAGTCTTCTAAGGAGCAGCCCTGAGCACATGGAGATGGAGAGGATGGGGTTGCTCAGGCAACTGTTGCCTGGCAACCAGCTCCCTGGCTGATCTCCTACACCCCCCCACCCCCGCCTCATGCTGGGGGAGCTGGGATGCGAGAGGGATCAGGACTGAAAAGGCAGAGAAGCCACAGAGACCCAAGGAGCATCCTCTGATAGAGGGAAGTCAGGGTTCAACAAGACTAGGCCCCATCTAGCCCACTCCCTCCAAGGCAGCTCAGAGCACTTTTTATAATTCCACACATCCCACGGCCCTTTCCCCACTGCTGCTCCCCCTCTGGGCCAACACTGCCAGAGGAGAAGATGTCCCTGCCTTGGGCAGTCCTTCCTCCTATCTAACCACAAGGCCTCCTACAAAGCAGGCTCAGCCTGTACTAACCTCGTTCCCCTTCACTGCAGGTTCTCTGAAAGCCCTGAGGCAAGAACATGAACTCAACCATGACTTTGAAAGAGGGTGGCTGGGGCCTAAATGAGCTCAAAGGACCCTAAACTGACCCCAGCCAAGGTGTGCAGGCCTAACCTGCCCAAGCTTCCCTCCTACCCCATTAGGAAAATTTTAATGAACACCTGGACCTCCTTAATTAGCCTTCTGCCTAATTACCTAACCRACTGCCAGCAGCCAGAGGCCCGGGCATCTGTCCCCCAGATGTGAGCTCTCCTCCCGGCCTGGGCTGGCCCACTCCTCTTCCCCTCCAGGAAGCCATGGCCCCTGGCTGCCCTGCTCTCACCCTTTCTCCTTCACTCTGGGCAGCCCTGGGCTTGGGAGGCCAGGTTGGGCAGGGTGGCCTTCCTGCTCTGAGGCCCAGGGCCTGCTCCATTCTGACCTCAGGCCACAGCTGAGACTCCTTTGGCTGGCCTCATCCTTGTCATAGAAGTGCCCCTTCAAGGCTCTGGCTGCCTGATTCTGACTCACCAACTCGATGGACAGGGCAGGGCAGGGCTGGCAGGGTGGACCTCCTGGGTGGGGTGGCCCTTCCTGATGGAGATGGAGGAGGAACACAGGGGAGAGGACTGTGGGGCTGGCCCCGGATTGTGAGGGAAGGACAGCTACAGAGGGGCCCTGCACACAGGGAAGAGGTGGCGAGGCAGGAGCCCAACGGACAAGGCGGGCAGTTGATGGGACCCGAGAGCAGCGGAGACCCCACAGACAGCAGCCATTTTCCCAAGCTGGGCTAAAGACCCAATAGGAACTGTGGTTATGTTTATATGCAAATGAGGGACACTGCAAGGTACAGCAGGCCTGGTCTGGAGGGGACATGGAGAAGCAGCAGGCCCTGCCTCCCGGTGACACCTCTTGGTACCTGAGCAATATTCAAACCATTCTGGGGTTTCAGAATGATGCTATCTCGGTTCCTGTGTGAGGTGGCCGGGCCAGCGGTCAGGGCAGCCCCCCTCGGAGTTGCAGCTGCGGCAGGGCTGTCCTCAGGGAGGGCCCCAGGGCTCCTTTCCCATGGCCACCTTCCTCCTTCCTGGCTGTCAGGGGAGTGCCTCCCTCTCTTCTCCCTGGACCGTCCATCCCGGCTGGCCCTCTGTTCCGGGGGCTCGGAGGACCTGGGGGTGCAGGCCCAGTGGAGGACACGCCAGAGAGGCTGGGCAGCGCCCCTTCACAGAGCCCCGGGCCTCAACCTGCGCTCATTAGGCGGCCTGTCCCTCCCTCGCAGGCTGCTTGGGGCTGGGAACGGAGCTGGAGGGGCAGGCAGGAGGCRGGAGACAGCTGTCACCCCTCCGCCCGCCCCTTCCCTGTGGCTGGGCTGCAGGGCATGAAATAAGCAGCAGGGCTGGGGGAGGGGTGACAACCCAATCCACCTGTCACCCCCCAGTCAGGCGGCCTCCAGCAGCCTGCTCACTAACGAGGGAGGAGCGTGGGGGAGGCGGGGGTGCAGAGGGGGACAGACGCACAGACACAGGAAAGGAGCCTGAGCAGCAGCAGCAGCAGCAGGCCTGGAGGCAGAGTGGGCCGCGGTGGGAGGGCTGGCCAGGGCCGGCCAGGGAGCAGGGGCGGGCGCAGAGCTCCGGAGTGGGAGGAGTCAGGCCAAGCATTGCCGCCGCTCAGACTCTGGTCCCTGGGCACCAGGCAGCGGGCACCCTCCCTGCCCTCTGAGAACTTGCAGTCCCGCCAAGAGGTAGACCAGGGCGGGGYGGGGCGCCTGGGCAAGGGAAAGCAGAGGCCAGGGGCCCTGGGGCCCTGGCTGGGGCCCAGTCGCAGCCCTGGGAAGGACTGACTGCGCTCTGCCCATCTCCCAAGGGCAGGCGGGTCCTGAGGAGGCAGAGGGAGCACCCACCCGGGACCAGCTGTCCAACTCCAGCCCCCAGGGAGCGACCCCAGACCCAAGCCCTGGTAGCCATTCCCGCTGGGCCTCAGCCGGCCTCCCCAGAGCCTGAGCACCCTGGGAGCCGGGGCAGGGCGGGCGTGACTCCCCAGCCCAGGCCAGGGGCTGCGGGGCATCTTCCCATGGTGCACTAAGGAAGGGGGCACGTCCCTCGGAAGCCTGAGGAAGGCAGAGCCCTAGGTCCCCCCACACAGCCTGATTCTCACGCCCCCGCACAGCCTGCCCCCCACCCCTGCTCCCGGCCCTCCCTCCGCCCCTTCTCTCCCCCGCTCCGCAGGCTGTTCTCCCCCCAGTTTTTCTAGGATCACAGCCCAGGGCAGGGCCCCAGCCCCACCCTCAAACTTCGGTCAGACAGGCTTCTACCCAAAGACCTGGTTCCCACCATCTTCCCTTCCTCAGGGACTCCCTCCCCMGCCCAGCAGCCTCAGGGCTGGGCAGGGGCTATTTTTAGCCTGGGCACTGAGCTAATTTTAACTCACCGACTGGGGACCTGGGGGCGGGCTGAAAGGGGGCCGTCCAAGAAAGCTGGGCCTGGGGCAGGGGAGTCTCGGGTCCCAGGCACCTGCGCCTCGGCAGGGACAGGAACTGACCCGAGGAGCGCCCGGTGGGGAGCGGGGGCAGCCCTCCTGCAGCTTCCGCTGGACAACTCTCCATGCTCCACCCCAGGCTTCCCACCCTCTCCTCCCCGGAAAGTCTCCTGGGATGGGGTCATCCTGTTCTCTGCCCAGGAGATGCCTCTCCACTGAGGGTCTGTCTCCTGAGCCTCCTCCACTACTTCCCCACCCCAGCTTGTCCTTCCTGTAGTCTAGCTCTCATCCTTCCTGTGCTGCAGGGGGCTGTGCGGCTCCCTATGGAGGCAGCAGCTCCAGCACCTCCCACCCTAGCTCTGACCTCCCCTGGGGACCTCTGGGCTGGTTCCCACCTATTCCTCCCCCCACCCCCACCCCAGAAAGTTCCTAGAAACCCCAGACTGACCTCAGGAAGTATTTGGGGGCAACAGGAGATGGAGTCCTGAGGTGGGGTGATCAACAGTCCAGGGAAACGTGGGGACTCTGGGCTGGGCTTTTAGTCTCTGCTCTGGCTCCAACTCACCCTGTGACCTTGAGCCAGTGAATGGGCTGCACCCTACTGACCAGGAGCCTGGGCAGGTAGAGTGCACGAGGCACGCCGTGCCGTTCCAGGCCAGACATTCTGTCCCTGTGCTCTTTGGAGAGGCCCAAGAGGAAGGGGGAGTCAGGACTGTGTGCATCTACAGAGGAACAGCCCAAGAGGTGGCCCAGTCGGTCCTCCAGCTGGGGGGGAAGGCAATCTGGAGGCCAGAGAAGGCGAGTTCTAAAGGGGAGCCCCTCCACCAGCTGCAAAGCACCACAAAGGCTCACATTGGGCCAAGGCAAGTACCAGGTGGGACACACAGGACACCACAGTCCCCTCACACATCTGGACCGCCTATCAGACCCAGAGCTTGGGGCCTCCCAGGGTCACTGTCGTGGTCTGGCCCAAGGTCACTGTCAAGTCACTGGTGGGGCCGGTTCTGAAACTCGAGGTGCTCCTTGGGCCCCACCCAGCAGGCCTGGCCTGACTCACTGGCGCTCATTTGCATGGGATTTGCATAGTGCCTCTGACCTCATTCCTTCAGATCCCACTTCCCACCCCAGGATTCCCACCCCACCCAGACCCCACGKCACCCGGAGACCCCAGCCCAGTGTCCCGGCCCCTCAAAGCCCTGGTTCCATCTCCCCCCCCCCCCTGAAAGCACTGCTGAATGTAAACACCCCCGGCAACAGTGGACAGCTTTAGTCCAGCTGGGTCCCCTCCGTCCAGGTCCAGGCAGGGATGGGGTGAGGTCAGGAGGAAGTGGGATCTGCCGAGGCTCCCAGGATGAGGTCCAGCGGCTGCCCACTGCCCTGCTTCCTGGGGGCTCTCCAGGGCAAGAGCCCCAGTCCCCTCAGGGCCATGGCTGGGCATGAGTGGCAAGGCAGGGAGCTGTCCTCTACACCTGTCTCCATGCCCATTTCTAGGACCCACCCCAGAGTGCAGAATGAAGGATGTGGCCGGGGACAGTAAGACAGACACCAGACTACAAAGGGGACCTCTGAGGGCTGAGTCCCTAGATTCAAAGTAGCCTTGGGGCTCAAAGCTGCTTGTCAGAAGGTACCCAATCCAGCATGGGCAGCTGGTGACATTTGGGAGGGCAAGGAGGCCCCAGCATTGAACTCCTACCAATGAGAGCTGGCAGACAACCAGTCCCCTACCTACCTTGAAGTCCAACCTCCATCTGTCCAGTTACAGTATCTATACTTCTAGCCATACTCTCAGAAACAAGGAAGCCCAGCAGAGGTCTYCTAGCCTGGGAAGTCCTTCCTGCTATCTAACCACCATCCTTCCC